CAGCAACAGCCACAGCAACTACCTCAGCAACAGCCACAGCAGCAACAGCCACAGCAACTAAGTCAGCAACAATCACAGCAGCAACCCCAGCAGCAGTCGCAGCCACAACCAGTTCAGCATCAGACAATGCAAATACCACTGCCACAGACTCAGTCTCCACAACCACAACCTCAGCCAGCACAGTTACAGCCACAACCACTTTCGCAACCAGYCCTGGCGAAGTATCCAATCACACAGCAAGCCAAACCCTTATCATCTCCTTCGCCCCCACCGAGCATAGCCTCTACACCTCACAACGGGTAATTACAAAATCTAAAAGTATGTTTTACCGTTTAAAGGGCGTTGAAATCGATAGCCCTCACAACCACATGACGACATTTTTATAGATGTTTTCATTTGCATGGATGAGTGGGCGAGACCGGAACGGCGCGAAACCGTATCCGGCCTCTCTCGCRCCATTGTCTTTTTAGAGTGCGAGCGGCGGCAAATACGGTTATAAATGTGTTTACTAAAATTGTTTAAAATTTTCTAGTCCATATGTAAAAGTGAAATTCAAAAGCAAAAATTCGTCACGAATCTGTGCACCAGGCCCCCCACTGAAACCAAATCCAAGATTCAAAAATTGTCTAGTGATTGGAGACTCTATTGCTATTGGGTAAGTATCCTTTAGGTAGGCATAGGGCAAGCAGGCAAGTGGGCAAGGTAGGCAGGCAGCAAGCAGACAAGCAGACAACCAGGCAAGCAGGCAAGCAGGCAAGCAGGCAAGCAGGCAAGCAGGCAAGCAGGCAAGCAGGCAAGCAGGCAAGCAGGCAAACAATGTATGCATGCTTTTTTTCATATACTGACTTCGTTTGGTAACTCGCCCAAATCAAAATTAAAGTCCAATTTACCTGTTTTCACGTCGTTTAGTTATCTCAGAACGGTCAAGCTGCTTCTGCGTGAAATGTGCCAAGTTCAACACGCTCCATTCGCGCGTGGCTCAGGYGCTGTTGATTCAAGACATGGCGTTGAGTGCCTTTCGATGTTGCTMAAAACAACTGCGATGGAGCCAACACATTACGATGCAATTATCTTTAATTTTGGTATGCATGACATCAACTATAGCAAGAGATTTCCAGAGGTAAAGATCTCGATTGACGCGTGATTGGAGAGAAGGCTGGTAACAATATATYAGTTTGCTCTGCCCTCAAATCTTCGTATACTAGGTCTGAATTTGTCACTTTTATTTGAACAGGAACATGTGTCGTTTAAAGAATATAAGAAAAATCTAAAGATCCTCAAGCAAACATTCTTAGCCACTGGAGCCAAGGTTGCTTACGCCCTCACGACGCCACACATAAGTAGTAAGGACCGTAACGATCGAATAAAAAAATACAACAAGGGAGCAATAAGGTATGTACGCGTGGATGACCACTTTCTTGAGAAAATGATCGAATTATCCCCGGTTGTAATTGACGATTTTCTTAATACCAAGATAATACCAAGATGATACTACCAAGATAATTTTGCAAGCAAGCGCAGTTTTTGTCTCGTTTATTTTTTTGGTTCTGTTTGTTTGGTTGGTTTTGGATTTTTCTTTTTTTGCATAWTTTTTTAAACTCAGTAAATAGTCTTTTTAGATAATAATTGAACACCAAGTTTAATGGACTTATACCTGGAATTCAGAGTTGTTTTTATTACATGGCAGTGTTATGAAGTCTGGTCATTCAGTTCCAGTCATCAACCTGTATGACGTCATTGTCAATCGATGTAGTGAGCCTGGAAACAATAAATTCTGTTCCATCATGAAAGGGAAAGGTGACGTGGTAAGTCATGAAGTATGATAAAAAAAACACGTGACCCTGATGAGCCAAGCTTAACCAGCATTCAAAGCAGTCGTGATTAGATCTTTCATTTACGAAATATGAGATCGTTTCCATCTGTGAGATTGAATCTTACCATATGTATATTCATAGTTAACTATGGTATATCATATATTATTATATAGCTCGGATGTAACACACGATTTCATTGGCTAAAAAGCGGGCCATACTTTCCCGTACGGACCTCGCGCTCGGTTAATAAGATATTAGTATAAAGGGATAACAAAAAGTAAGTTTTTGCTTATATTACAATGTATTTTTTTCATTTTTCAAACATAAACACATGTTCGTAAAGGATGTCGGTTGACCATGGCCCTTGAATGATGCGAATATTATAAAAATAACCGAGCCATTTCCATGGAACTCTAAATAGACTCTTAAACGCTTTTTGTATCATTAGTACTGATTATTTTATACGAACTCAACCATTTCGTTACAGCATTACAATGAAGAAGGCTGCCGTTTACTGGGAGTAAGAGTAGCTGCAACATTTGCGACACTGATAAATCAAAGAGCGACAAAAAGTACGTTTTAGCCATTGATAATTTTTGAGGTGGTGGACAATACTACATTCATTTCCCAACCCTAACTCATTTGAGATATTAATGATTTTGTTCTTTTGTTTTCCTGCACAGAGCATACTCAATCTAGGCCACGCCCTCGTTTCCTTGGACAACTTTACCTTGACAGATATTCCTCGGTTAATGCAGTCACGTGCCCTGATGCGCTGACCCGATGCCCAGTAGGAACCACGTGCTGTGAAAGCTTCTTGTCAYTGACAGGATATGGCTGCTGTATGATGCAGGATGCTGTCACTTGCCAAGACAACTGGCACTGCTGCCCARTTGGAACSATGTGCTCACCAACATGTAACGTTCGTGAGTGTCACTGCATCACCTATCTTCCAAGCAGCAAAGGAAAAACAATCAAGAAGAAAATAAAAGCAAAAGTATCACTGCACGGTAAACACTTGAAGAAGAAAAAGAAAAGCGCCTCTCATCCACGAGTACGAGTTCGGGTACTGAAGAAATTGAAGAGAAGGAAAAACAGACCTGGGAAACATAGCGGCGAAGCTAAAGTCCCTAATTTAAGCACCATGCTTAGTAAACATAAATTTGTGAAAAACACCACAGATCGACCWGATAATAATACCGTTGAGCTAGCGCATCTCATAGAGCACCACCATAAGGCGGCATATCAGGATTTGAAGACGTATCTCTCTGGAAATGATGCTCATCACAATCACCACCGCCGCCGCCATCACCACCATCATCATCATCACCGTCATCATCAACATCATCATAATCATCATGAACAACAATATAGTCATCGTCATCATCACATTTCTGAGGAAGACGACATTTCTGGTTCTATGCCAGAAAGCACCAAAAAATCTAATAAAAAAAGAAAATCATTGAAAATCAAGCAAATTTCAAACAGTGGAAGCGAGTCTGGAATTCTGGATGACAAACACGACTTGGCCGGCAGTGCACAAATGTTTAATTCCTCTGGAGAAAAGGATGTAATGTCATACAATGACGACATTATCTTAGGTTCTGGTGAAGAGTACGTTAGGGGAAGTGGAATGCGTGATAGCGACGATGATATACAAGGAACAATAGGAAATCGAATGCGTAACACAATTTCTCCAGTTGATCCATTCRATGAAGTCTTAAAATCTTCTTCAAAACCCAATAAAGGGAATAATAAAACTAAATCCCAAYCTTTTCGCGGTAAAGGCCACAAGAGGAACAAACTAAAGAGCTATCTTTCGTCCAATGAAACAGTAAAGAATAAATATTTCAATGCGCCATTGTCAAGTGGAGATSTTTGGAACGCAAATGAATTCAGTGGTGAACGTATTGCATTAAAACACGCAGCGCATAACGCAAACGCTAATACTGCAAACAAAAACTCTACATTGCATGGCCATCACGCAATACGTAAGACATTTCTTGATAGTAAAGTTGGATTGGATGACGGCGAGAATGATGAACTCTTWAGCAGTGAATTTGAAGATACCGATGRAAGCGCTGACCATGACTTTGATTTAATGATGAGTGCGTCCACTAGTGGAACTAAAGATGATATTTCAAATGATGGAAAAGAAAACCTAAGCGATGAAGATGAAGATGAAGAAAAGCAAAGTGGACAGGGAGAAAAGCAAAGTGGACAGGGAGTAAACCAAAGTGGACAGGGAGTAAACCAAAGTGGTCAGGAAGTAAATCAAAGTGGCCAGGAAGTGAATCAAAGTGGCCAGGAAGTAAGCCAAAGTGGCCAGGAAGTAAGCCAAAGTGGCCAGGAAGTAAGCCAAAGTGGCCAGGAAGTAAGCCAAAGTGGCCAGGAAGTGAATCAAAGTGGCCATGAAGTAAACCAAAGTGAACAGGGAGAAAACCAAAGTGAACAGGGAGAAAACCAAAGTGGCCAGGAAGTAAACCAAAGTGGCCAGGAAATAAACCAAAGTGGCCAAGAAGCAAATCGAAGTAACCAGGTTGTAAACCAAAGTGGCCAGGGAGCAAACCAAAGTGGCCAGGAAGTAAATCAAATTGGCCAAGATATAAATCAAAGTGGACAGGGACTTAACCAAAGTGGACACGATATCAACCAAAGTGGCCAGGAAGTAAACCAAAGTGAACAGGAAGTAGACCAAAGTGGCCAAGATATAAAGCAAAGTGGCCTGGGGCTTAACCAAAGTGGACACGATATCAACCAAAGTGGCCAGGAAGTAAACCAAAGTGAACAGGAAGTAGACCAAAGTGGCCAAGATATAAAGCAAAGTGGCCTGGGGCTTAACCAAAGTGGACACGATATCAACCAAAGTGGCCAGGAAGTAAACCAAA